CATTCTTTCAGGGCTCAGGGAGCCTCTTTTCCCCTCAAAGCAGTTGGTGGGTTTCAACCACCGACCTTCTGGTTATCCGACAACGAGCCAAACCTGCTGCCATCAACCCGGTTTCAAGTCACAGAGACCCTACAGAGGGTTTCCGACACCACACAGCTTCACAGGGGCAGACAACCTTCTTTTCCTCCCTCGGAGGACTCCATGGGTTTCACTCCCAACCAGGAAAGTCAGCAATCCAGTGCTTATCCCATAGTGCCACCTTAGGGTGACCCTGCCTGGTCCTCTCACTGCAGATTCATATTCGGTTGAAACACAGGAAACTGGCACTTCTATAGCCTCAGGGTGGTTGAATCATTCCAATTTCATACAGTTCAACCTAAAAGAATGCTGGCAAATTACCCAAGAGAGTGGAGTGGGGATTTTTATTGATCAACGGCATGGATTTAAAATGAATGTAATGGTTTGGGCACACGAAGAGAGACGCAGGCTCACGGAACAGGCTGCAGTATCTGTAAATCTAAGCATCGGTGGAAATCAAGTCTCAAATAACTACACCAAGACAGGCTTTTAAACAAGTGGCACCAGGACAACTGGTTCACCACAGTGAAAGGTAAAACTAGGTCCGTGCCTCACACCTGATACAAGAATGAACTTCAAATGGATCAGCGATCTAAATGCAAGAAAAATGAAACTTTTTCAGCACTAGAATAAAACATGGGTGATTTTTCTCTAAAATCTCATTTTTAGAGAAGGCTTTTCAACTATGGCTCAAAATCCAAATGCAATTTCAAAGTGATGGATTTGCTTTGTAAAGATACAATTTTAAATTTGCCTGACAGAAGTCCAAAAACATAAATGAAGGTAAAAGAAAAATGACCAACTTGGGAGATTGGCAACGTACAAATCACAAATGAGGGATCATCTCCCTCATACAGAGAGTCTTGACATTTCAGGGGAAAAGAAGGAAAACAACAATGGGCAACGTGTATAACTAGACACTCACCAGACATATGCTAAGATTGCCCATAAACATATGAAAAGTTCACCTCCACTCCTTATAATAAGGTGAATTAGAATCATAGGCAGATACCATTTCTTAGACACCAAATTAGTGACAATAAGAACAAAAAGGGAAAGTCCAAAGGGAGCAACAAGTGATCCAAAATCGGTGGCGATGAGGGTGTAAGAGGCCTGGTAGGGCTTGATCAAGGACAATGTAACCGAGAGGAATTACTGAAACCCAAATGAAGGGTGAGCATGATAGTGAGACAAGAATAAAAGGAAGTAGAGGAAAGAGCTTAGAGGCAAAGGATATATATATTTTTTAATCATTTTATTAGGAGCTCATACAACTCTTATCACAATCCATACATACATCAATTGTGCAAAGCGCATTTGTACATGCATTGCCCTCATCATTCTCAAAACATTTCCTCTCCATCCAAGCCCCTGGCATTAGGTCCTCATTTTTCCCTTCCCTCCCGGCTCCCCCCTCCCTCATGAGCCCCTGATAATCTACAAATCGTTATTCTGTCATATCTTGCCCTGTCTGACGTCTCCCATCACCCGCTTTTCTGCTGTCCGTCCCCCAGGGAGGAGGTCACATATAGTTCCCTGCATTCAGTTCCCTCTTTCCTACCCACTCTCCCTCTGCCCTCCCAGTATCGCCATTCACACAGCTGGTCCTGTAGGGATCATCCGCCCTGGATTCCCTGTATTTCCAGTTCCTATCTGTACCAGTGTACATCCTCTGGTCTAGCCAGACTGAGGCAAAGGATATTTAAAGAGGTCTAAATACAGGCATGTACATATGTAAATATATTTATATATGAGGATGTGGAAATAGATCTACGTGCATATTTGTATAAGTTTAGTATTGAGGTAGCAGATAGACATTGGGCCTCCACTCAAGTACTCCCTCAATGCAAGAATACTTTGTTCTATTAAACTGGCATTCCATGATGCTCACCTTC